ATAAAGATGCACGTGGCGGAGAAGGGAGAGGGACCCGTGGTTCTCCTCCTTCACGGCTTCCCGGAGCTCTGGTATTCATGGCGCCACCAGATCCTCTCCCTTGCCGCTAGCGGTTACCGTGCCGTCGCTCCCGACCTCCGCGGTTACGGCGACACCGAAGCGCCGACCGATGTCGCCGAATACTCTATCTTCCATCTCGTGGGCGATGTTGTCGCTCTCATCAACTCTCTCGGCCAGGAACAGGTATATCAGAGCCCACTCTGTCCTCCCTCTAAAAATTTAATTTTTTTTTTATTAATGAGAAAAAATCAATGAAGGTTTTTGTGGTTGGGCACGATTGGGGAGCGATTGTAGCGTGGAATCTGTGCGTTTTCAGGCCGGATAAAGTGAAGGCTTTAGTCAACCTGAGCGTGGCGTTCCTGCCCAGGAACCAGGCTCTGTGGCGGGTTGATAACTTGAGGAAGATCTATGGGGATGATTTCTATGTTTCCAGATTCCAGGTGACCTCTTCGCTCTATTTGTTCCTGTTTGTTTTGAAGTTTTTATTGCTGTTCTGTCTGTGTAATCCTTAAACAGAAATACAGGCATCTGGTCTAACAAATTATTAAAAAACCGAGTTTTTCAATGAAAATGAGTTGCCTTTTTTCTTCTTTGCGAATGTGAATTAGGAAGTTGGAGAAGTGGAAGCTCAATTGGCCGAGGTTGATACAGCTCTGCTCATGAAGAATTTCTTAGCCTCCAGAAATCCAGGGCCTCTGATTATACCAAAAGATGGCGGATTTAGAAGAATAAAAAGTAAGGAAATCACAGTCCCTGCTTGGCTTTCTGAAGCTGATATCAACTACTACGCGACCAAATTTAACAAAACTGGCTTCACCGGCGGGATTAATTACTATCGTAACATGGACAAGTACGTACGTTCATCAATTATACATGCTTTCCTAAAAGTTCTGAAGAAACGAGTTTAATTAAGTAAAATCATGCAGGAACTGGGAGCTCAGTGCTCCCTGGACTGACATCCAGATAAAAGTTCCAACCAAGTTCATCGTGGGAGATCTGGATCTGGCCTACCATTTCGAAGGGATGGAGGATTACATTCACAAGGGTGGGTTCAGAAGAGATGTTCCATTGCTGGAGGATGTTGTTGTGATGGAAGGAGTTGCGCACTTCATCAATCAGGAGAGGCCTGA